TAAAAATAAAATATGCACTAAATCGACATTCACAAATACCCAGTTGTCTCAACTGTCCGTGTGTACAGTATAGTACATATATACATCCACTGTGACACAGGCCATCTCTGTAATTATACCTTCACGGGTGCTTTGGGCTGCCTGGTTAGCTTCAGTGCCTGTGAAGAGCAAACAACAGTCACTTTTTTACATTCTTAAAAGACAATCAACTGCACAAGACAAGCTTTTTATTTATAAGGGGCAACAAAATGCTGCATTTACTTCTGGGAGGCTGAGGAGTCAGCATGCAGCTGACAGGCCACTCTGGGTTTTGGGATGATGTTTCTGTCTCTGATAGCCCATCACAACCTCCTCACAAGCAGACAGCCTTAACAGGGGAACCACAAGGAATATGGCTACGGTGTTGGCAAAGGAAGCAGCGGAGGTGGGTCACCCCACTCAAACCACTTGCAGCACAGATTAAAGAGCTTCTGACCCACCTAGGGACAGACTGTGAAGAAAATCTCTGCCAACAGCTTTGTGTTCCCTGGCCTCCTTCCATATGGCTTGAAGCCCGCTCAGAGTGTAGTCACTGCTGCAGTGGCGGATGTCACACACCTCTGATGTTTACACCTTCCTTTCTGAGAAAAGGTGAGAATAAGCCAAAGTCCATCAGTCCAGAGGTGATCTTATCCCAGGGGAACACCTGACGTCTTCGCAGCTCTAGTCTACTCTTACTGAGGAGGAGAGAAACCACGTCTTCACTTGATGGCAGGGTCCAGCTCTGTGTTCCCTGCAGGGCTTGGCCAACTACAGCAGTTGAACTATTTATTCAGTGTGTGACAGAAGTTCAACTCAAATTATAGGTGATCACGCTTCAGTTTGGCAGGAGCAGCCTCTCTAACTTAGGAGGCAAATGTGACAGGCTTAAAAGGTGTTAGGCTTTCAGCTGCTCCTGTATACTGATGTGGTCCCCGTGAAGGATGCCTGCTGTTGGTGTGCTCTGCAACAAAAAAGCTCAGTGCTTTCTTGTGAGGGATGAAATCAGTCTGAGCAAGAGGGAAATTTATAAAATGTGCACATTCCTAAAATTTGGAACCTCCGTTTTCCTTAACCTTTTGTGTGAAGTGCCCTGACAGACTGGCATTTGCTTGTTGAGCGAGAGACTTAGCATTTCCAGAACGTTGGCTAAACAAGGGATTTTCAGTCTGAGAGATGTATGATGGGTCTTCTTATTGTAGATATTAACCTTTAATATTGTACATTTAAAGCTTGTAAGCACTACTTGAAAAACGCTCCAGCACAAATGTAAACCCTTAAAAAAATCCAAACCTTTAAAAATAAATGGGCTATATTCCCCTCAGAAACACCAGCTTTCAGAAACACCAGCATTTAACTATTGTTAAATCTAGCCGTTGGAGATTAGTCTTGTGGATATTATTCAGCGAGAGACTTTGGAGAGAGACATCATTCCACATTTTGTTTGGGGAAACATTTTTTAACTTTGTAGTTTGGCAGATTCTGCTGCCATATTTAAAAACTAGAAATACCTTAGTGTAGATGAACCTCTAAATATTTAAATTCAATTTCATACAACTGGATCACATGTACTATCATAATTAAGTAAGAATGTCAGTGCAGTTGAGTACTGTGACTGGATAACCGTCTCCCCCTGCAAGAGAGATGCCAAAATGAAGCCAAGGTGTTTATAGAAAATAAACATCAAGGGTGATGATGACATGTTTATTTTCAAAGCGGGAGACCATTATCCAGTCACAACATTCACTTCTATTATACTTATTATGACTGTACCAGACCCAACCTCATTGATTTTTTTCAAAGAGTAATTAAAATAACATTTGTGAATAATACAGAAGGCCAACTGAAGAAACTGTTGCAACAAAACAACAATCCCCCAAAGTGGTTCTATGGTAGCATTACAATCTGCTTAGCACAGGAGGTTTATCTGATGCTTAATGAATAAGAAACTAGTGCTGGTGAACTGTAAATCTCTTCAGTACTTGCTGACTTTCCTGATGCCCTGTTTAAAGGCACTGTTAACTTGCAGCAACTGACAGCAGCCCCTAAAGGCCATTAATGCCCCTGAGGATCAGGGAGGTGTGGATGAGCTCCACCCCCACTCCTGGCCTTGGCAGCAGAGAGCAGTTAGATGCGGAAAAGAAGCCAGCATTGCAGGGATCATTGTGTCACTGGCAGTGTCAACTTTAGGCCATCTTCCTGCAGGAATAGCAGCATGGAATTTCCTTTACACACCTGTAATATCTCCTGAAAATTTCTGGTTCAAAAAAATCAGACTGATAGAGAAATGACTTATGATACTCAAATCTCCATTTTCAGATGCTAAAATAAGTGTATCTTAACAGTGTCCGACTTCTGGACTCAATTCCTGAAAACTGAGAGTTTTCCTGCTTTTTGCAATTCAGGTAACCAAAACTGGAGCCACGTAAAAATCACTGATTTGGGGAATCTTAGTATTCAGATTAGCAAGGTGACTTTAGGGGAGTGAAGCTAGTAAAAATCACAGCCTGTTGGGTTTTGCTGAAAATTAGAAACATGAAAATTATAAAAACAATTTCTCCACTAACAAGTGGAGAATGCAGGGTACTGGTGGCACTGGTCTTCCCACAGCTGGTCTCAACCTTCACCTAAAAGGGCTGCCAAAGACTGTTTCAGTTGCCACAGCTTCTTGATCCTTAGAACATCAAAGACAGCATTAAAATCAGTTGCATGGACCAGTCTTCTGCAAGGTGGCTACTGTTTTGAGAACATGACTAAATCCATTGCAATTATTTCATACAGATCACAGAATGGCTGTCAGATGTCAACAGTTTCAATTTGTACTGAAATAAGCATAATTTAAATCAGTGATGTCGATGCAAAAACCTCTAGGCTATAGTCTGTAATCCTATAAGATATCCCAATGCCATAATTTTGGCATGAAATGTGATGCAGACTCCTTGCTATTGTAAAGGGTGACCCAGGTAGAAAAAAGAAATTAAGTTTTTATCCTCCTTCAATTCAGGAAGTGCCCTTATTTTACCTGATTTCCCCAGCTCCCATGCCAGTGGGCACATCTTTGTCACTTCTCCATAAAGGACATCCAGAGCTGTGATTATTCGCTAAAGATGGAGCCGTTCTTATTGGGCCTAAACTGAATTCCTAATTTGAATTAATTCCTAATTTGAACTAAAAATAGAGGTGTAACTTCAAGTTTTTAACCTTTCCAGAGCCAAGGGGGATAAAGTTCAGCACTGTTAATTTGATACTACTGTGACTATACCTGTCATAAAGGAAGTAAGGAAACTGGAAAATCCTTACCATGGGATCTGCAAGAAGGAACCTGAGGAGTTTAAGACGTGTATAGGTATTTTTTTCCTCACAGCACAGTTCCCATCATAAATCAAAACCAGCAAGTCTTACCTTTTGCCTAGAAACCATCCAGGATTTTATTGTTGGTACCAACAGACTGCCAAGAAGAATCTGAGCAGGATGATAGATGAGTAAGGGGACAGAAATTAAGGACAGGTGCTCATAACCCGCAAATACTATCTTCAGCATCGGAATACCTGCAGGCAGAAGAACAGGAGACAACATACCCACCTCAGACTTTGAGCTCTAGGCAAATGTAAATATTTTATTTTGCATTGACATTTCACCAAAAAAACCAACCCCAAGAAACAAAACGAAGACTCAGAAGTTTTATATAAAAAAACCCCAACCCAAACAAACCAGCAAGAACATGAACAAAAGAAAATACACAGCAGAGAAAGTTCTGTGGCAGAAAGGAAGGAGCAGGGGAATGCCATAAAAGATCTTTTCTAATTATGCTAATAGCTGTCAAACTCCTCCTGACGATTTGATATAAAATACATTCTGCTATAGCACGGCTGTGCAGTTGCTGAGCAGAGTGCCATACTGTTTATTTACTACCTCCTCTCACTGTGCTCTGTTTCATGTTTTCATGACTGTCCTCCACCCAACCTGACCAACTCCTGCTTGTAACCTTCCTTCGGTCCCTTCACCACTGGAGGAGGGTTGCATTTTCCCAGCATACTCCCTGCCAGTTGGTGAATACCCAGGTGACGGCCTTCCCTGCTTTGACTGATTCATGTAGTCAAGGTGGAGAGTCAAGTACTCTGCAGGTGAGTGCTTATGTATTAAAAACCAAATCTCTCTGCTCTACCTGTGTGTTTCAGAAGAGATACAGCATGAAGATTTAGTGAACTGAGTGAGCAAGATAAAGCGGTCATGCCTATGAAGAGTGAGGGAGCAGCTGGAGTACAGAAGTTGCTAGATGCTGGAAGGAGTGAGTGTAAAGAGCTAGAGATGGGCCATTTTTCTTAAGAGCTAGAATTTTCACTCAACAGTGCTAAGTCTGTTAGATAACTCCATGCATTTACATAATCTTCCCATTTGATGACATAAAATTATATTTTATTTAGTTTTGCAGTAATGAAACCGATTATGTTTACTCTGAACATGTTATTGTTCAAAATTATCTGTTTAAATCTTGGCACTTGGCTACCATGCTCCATAAAGCACAGATGTGGGCAAAATTTGCAACCATACCTGTTCTTGCTTGACCAGATATATATTTGCACAGTCGCCAACAAGAACAGCTGCCATTCCTCAGGAGCCCCCCAACAACATCCCTTATTTTCTTCCTCATCTTACATGTCATTCTAGGAATCTTCCACCAGCATGACCCTCGCAGCGAAGCAGACCACACACTTTTCACAAAGCTCATCTGTGCGTCTCCTTTCTTAGCAAGGACAGACAGCTGAGCTTTAAGCCACATGGCCTCTGTTCTCCCATTAGTAGATGTTTCAGATCAGCCAAAGTTGCCATACTTACATAAACTTTCATCTGTCTTGGATAAATTCCCATTCTCAACACCCTTTCAGGTTTCCCTTAATAAAAGTTGCCTCCTTCCTATGTGAGGAAACAGGTTATTTACTGAATATTTACAGCTCTACCAGTGCCCTACTGTTGCTGAAACATGTCCAGGCTTGCCAAAATCTGTGTTTCCACAGCACCATTTCTTCTAAGTGTTTTGTTTAGCTTCATCACATTATACCACTAACAACCTCATCCCCTTTCTAGTAGCCTTTACTTATGTGGCTATTTCCAGGGAAAGATTAACTCAAAAAAGAAAAAAAAGGGGCTTGCATGCTTAACTTCAATATTATGATTACCTTGAAAACAACATCATGGACCTATTAAACAAAGGGCGGCTTATTATTAAAACTAATTTCTGGGGCTTGGGAAAAGGTAGTATTTGGATAGAGATTAAATGCGTATTTGCATTATATTAAGGAGCACACTTTACTTCAAATGCCCATCACACTGTTTTTGTAAACAGATAAAGGTTTTATGGTCTGTTTCCAAGTCTCAATTTGATCCTTGTGGGACGTTTTCTGTTCTCTAACCACAGAAAAATAAACTAGAGTGCCAAGCTCTGAACATGCTATGTATGTTCATAAGACAGAACCTGGGGTTTTGGTAGTGCAATTTCATCCATAGATCCAAAAACACTTTAGTAAGCTGAACAGGACTCCTACAGAGAATCAGAGAACACTAAAATGACTAGCCTAAGATCACACAGAAAACTAACAGCAGAGACGTGAACAGAATGGATCCAAAGTAACTGAGACATGCTTTATATTACTGTACATCTTCTGAACTGAAAACAAAGATGAGAAATTCCAGCCTAAATGGTAAATTCTCCAGAGGAAAGCTATTTCAGGAAACTAGGAAAAGAAAATTAAAGTTGTCAAATATAAATACAAAATACTGTAATTAGTGTGACAATATAATTAGATCACTGGATGGAAAGAGGTTCTTAATTCACAGCTTGTTTAAATACATGACACAACAATAGATTCCTGTAAGCCACTAATGTGCAATTAAAGTTCCTGTTATTTACCAGAAAAAACTAACTGATGAAAAGAAGAAAAAACAATTTTGCTTTTGCAGGTATGCATTCGTTTAATGGAAAGAAAAAGCCCTGTTGACTTTTTTTTTACACTTTCTGATTTTTGTAATTCCAATTTTGCCAGTATGCAGCTCTCAAAAAATATTACATGACAGAGATCCACAGACTACATTCACGAATGGTTGTGTCAGTAATATTACCACAAAGCTAAGCAAAACAGCATGGGTTTTATTTATTTTTTAAATTGCTGCCTAAACTTTTTTGTAGCAATACATCGTAACTGCAAGCATGAGTATGGCTGCTAATATTTTTCAAATAAATAAAACTCATGCAAATTCCTAATTAGGAAAGACATTTTCCTAGTTACTTTTCCCTCCCTCTCTCAAACAAATCCCAACCAATCAACCCTGTATTTTTTAATATATACATATATATATAAAACACTTGGGGAAAAAGAACCAATCAACCAACCCAATGGAAAACCAATCCCAGCCAAAGGAAGCAAAGTGGCATTATAATGCCTGGGCTGATATTGTATGCTGCATTTTAGCCCGCGATGCATTTTCAGGATGAGACTGTGAACCAGCACTAAGAGAAGCTATAACAGAAACACTGACTGAAACAGTAGTGACATGAACAGGTGCTGCTATAACAAAACTAATAAAGTGAGTGAGATGAGTTTAAATCTTTCAGATAGATAGCAAGGAATGAAGGTACAAAGCAAAATGGATATGGTTATCTTTAATTTGGGCTGTCCACTCCTCTCTTCCTCACCTTTTATAGCACATGGCTTCCAGTGCTAATGGAGTACGATAGCTACACTAAGTCTAGAAATTTTGCATGGGATCAAATCACATATATTCAAACCGCGACCACCACCTTAGTCTTAAGTTTCCTCAACGTACACAGCAGCTCCTCCCTCTCCCCATCCCCCGATATTACTAGGGCATATATTTGGCATTTGGAGCATCAAGGCTGCATTCACACATATAAAGAATAATGCCTGTAAGGATTTTTCGTTTTGTTTTTACAGAGCCATTAATCGTGCTTATCTGCGTTTCAGAGTAATTGGACTCTTTTCTACGGGTCTTCATCCTGATCAACACTGGAGGATGAACACTGGCATTATCAGTTTATATACAATCTTTTTGTTAAGTTTTAAGACTGCTGTCATGGTCTGAAGGCTCACACCACAAACACCCATTCATGTTGTTACAGTTGACGAAGTTACAGGCTACCAGCAGGTTAGTTCAACTCCTTTGCCAAAGACCCTCAGTCACTATGTATCCCAAGTACTCACTGACAAAGTGCTTCTCTCTGGTTTGATGCCAACTTGGACAGCTTTGCTCAAAGTAGGGGCGTAACAAGCTGTTGAGTTCCCAAAACCTTTTAAACAGCTTTATTGCATGAATGTGTGTCCATCTTCTGGATCAGAGCTAACCAAACACTGACAGGCACTAGTCAGGGTTGCATCCCATCCTCCAAAGAAAGAGGAAAAGTGGTACCCAGCTGGGCGAGAAAACAGCACCTCACCCGACCAGGACTAGAGAGAGCTGTAGCAGAAGGAAGGAAGCACTGAGATCATCCCACAGATACCCCTTACAAACAACATAATTGGTTTTCCCAGCTTTTTACTCTGGACTTCCCTCTCCTCCTTTGTTTGGCTATGGCTCTTCTGCCAGTGGGTCCCCGTGTTTCAACCTTCCTCCTTGCTCTTTGGCCCCAGTATTCAGAGGCTCTTTTTCTGTTTGTATATTTTCCCTTCCTTCTTTTTCTTCCTCTTTTCAATTCCCATATTTCTAGCCTGCTTGGTTTTGCTTCCCAAGACCTTTGATTCTGCTCACTTGCAGCAGTGTAAATTTTGGGTACTTCCACTAAAATAACTAAGCTCCACTAAGTGCAGTAGGCACTGAAGTCACAGTCTCACTGCAATGGAGAGAAGTGAGTTAGACCTATGACATGGAGTACATTTCCATTTTTCTCTCCCTGTTTGCATCCTCACTCAGCCCATTTCATGTAAGAAGTTCACAAACCTGAGGAAGAGCTAGCAAGAGAAAAGCTGTTTATCTGTGACCTTCAACAATGGCAAGGAAGAGCAAGAGGACTGCTCTTACATGAGCAGGCTTATAGGAAAGCCCTGTTTGCTCTCCATTGCTCCAGGGTATGCCAGTTCGGCTCTAAGGCTGTGGTTTATCAGCCCTGGTCGAAGGCCACTGTTTCTCTAGTAGCCTGCACAACTGAAACCTGTCTATCCTTCCTCCTGCTCTGTACCCAGTATAACCTCCTGCATCCTCCGTTTTACCCTTTGCTGCTTTCACATTTTGTAGTCACCACCTTAAAAGGCCCATGAAAATATTATGCCGCACTTCACTACATTTAGTTAACTGTAAAATAATAATAATAAAAAATCCTAAAAGATTCGAAGGTATTTTTAAGAGAATTTAAATATAGGACTCTTTTCATCTAGCTATCACTGCAGTAATATAAATGAAGCAAATTAATTTTAATGCTCCAAGGTACTGATTCTGTGTCACTGTCACTGACAGGATCCAACTAGACTTTATGAGATGGCATTTGACTTTATGGAAGTGAGCACTACGCACGCATTTACAATTTTACAGGGACTTTAAG